CTATTTTTTTCCCTTTAATTAAACGGATAAAAAAAATAAAAAAGTAAATAATGGAGTGGAGATTGAGATAAAAGAGGGCATAACAGCGAAACAGCGCAGATCAAAACATAACCATTTAAGCAGAATAGTGTTTCACCACAAGATAATTCCGACCTAAAAGTAGTTACCATATTGACTCTTTCCTTGAAGTCCTTGAGTACAACTTCATATACTGTAGCATTAAGTATATCAAAACAATGTAAAACCATTTAAGAGAATGACAGCATTACAGAGTATTTAGAATTGACTAACAGAAAATGAACAATGGTTTCTGTATAATCTCCTTGTCTTTAAAAGGTTTTTGCTTATACTATTGTACATAATAAAATCCAATAAGATACAACCTATTTAGACCATTGGAGACAGAAGAACAAAGGCTAGATGAGACTTCAAAACAAGATACTAAATCAGTATTACCTATTAAGATGTCATTTTCTCCAAAATAGCTGTTCCTATCATCCAATCTTCTCTGTCTCATTTCTGTTGAGCTCTTTTTCTGTCAGTAGCTGTCAGTTTGTCTTCTTCATTTTGTTCTCTGCTCCATTCGTTGTGGCCTCCCTGCCACTATTTCTGGGTTCTTTGTATTTTTCTTTTTTAAGAATATCCTGCAATACTTTCTGTAGCGTTGAATTGGTGGTTGCAAATTCTCCCAGTTCCTCTTTATCCTGGAAGCACCTTGTTTTTCCATCAATTTCCAGGGACAGTTGTGCAGGATATCTCAATCTTGGCTGGAGATTATTATCTTTCAAAGCTTGAATTATTTCCCCCCACGCTCTTCGTGATTTGATGGTTTGTGCAGAGAAATCTGCTGTAATTCTGATGGGTGTTCCCTTGTAAGTGGTCTGTTTCTTGTCTCTGGCAGCTTTTAATATTCTGTTCTTGTATTGAATTTCTGGAATTTTTATTATTATATGCCTGGGTGTTTCTCTGTTTGGGTTGTAGGTAGCTGGGGTCCTATATGCCTCATACATCTGAGTATCTTTACCTTTTGCTAAATTAGGAAAATTCTCCTGGATTATTTCTGTGAGTAGCTTTTGTAGTTCACTTGTTTGTGTCCCTACTTCTTCTTTTATGTTCTTAATCCTTAAGTTATGGCTCCTCTTATCATCTTCTTGTCTTTGTATTATTGCTGTTTGTTTCTTTGTTATTTTTAAGAAGTTTTTCATTTCATTCTCCCATATTACAAGTCTGCCCTCCAGATCAGATAGTCTGTCCTTAGTTTCTTTCAAGCTGTTATGCCAGTCTTCGATAGACTTCTTAGTTTCTTGATAGTCCCTTTGAACCTGCTTCACGTACTCTACGCTTTCTCTGTTTTCTCCATCAAATGATTCTCCCCTCTTTTTCTGTTTTTCCATTCCACCATCTGTTTTTTCCTGGGTGGTGCTTAGCATTTCTCTAACTATTCTGCATACTTCTAGCTTCAGGTCGTTGATAACTTCATTCCTGAATTGGTCTATGAGGCTCTCTATATGGCACTTAATGTCTATTGGTGCGGTGTCCGCTATTGCCTGTTTCTCAGAATTGGGGGTCAAGGAGCCTTTCTTGTTGCTGCCTCTTCCCATATTCTCTGTTTCTCATATATGCAAGCTTATATGAGAGGCCCAGCTTCTCTCCCTGACAGCCACAGCCTGATCGAATTGCGCCAGTTAGGTGTTCTGCTCACCGCTGTGCACTAGGCAGCCTATGCGGGGCCCGCCCCTCCCGGCCACCGTCAGGCTCTGGGATCTGGGTTGGGCTAGTCTACTGGGTCTGCCGGCAGCGTCACGCAGGCCAGGCACTTTTCACCAATCCCGCCCGAGAGGGGGATGTGTGGCTGGAGTTGCCACCGCGCCCTGCTCCCGTAGGACTGCTCGGGCCCAGAAAGTCCGCTGGAGTCAAACTGTGGTGGAGTGTCAGTTTCTCTCACTCACCTCACCACTAGTCGGTGCACACCTCCCTGCCCGTCCTGTTTTCGACTCCGTTCACAGACTCCCATTCACAGAGCTTCCGCACGTCTCTCTCCTTGCCGAGCCGATGTAGAGGCAGCCAGCCACCGCGGCGGGACACCCAAATCGCGGCTTCCAATGGCGCGGGGTTCAGCCTCCACACCGAGGCTTTTCTGTTCCTGTTTTAGCACCAGGACTGCATTCCAAGTTGGTTTCTCTCAGCCCAGTTCGTTCCTGAGTCAACAGAGCATATCTCCACCTGCTTATTCCCTTTAGTCCGCACCATTCCTGGCTTCTGAGCCTAGTTTTTCAGAGAGCCTCCGGTAGTTGCTGTTATCTGTTTTATAGTAATTTTCACACAGAGACATTAATGTCATCTATCTCCACACTGACTGCTATCAAGTTATAAATGATTGCAGAACCAAAAAGAGAACCTCCTTTTTGATTAAAGAATATATTCAACTTTCTAAGATGTTTATTTAAATAGAGGTTGTCCCGCCCACTAAATAAAACTTCCCTCGGGTGGTTACATTTTGAACCCAAAACTAAGAAGCCAGCATATAGATAGTAATAAATCTGCTGTGAGCCATTACAAGGTCAGATAGCAGGACACTGAGGAATAAGAAAGTCTAGTGAGAAGGGGACAAACACCAGAGAAACAAAACTGGGCTTTACATCAGAAGAACATTAGAATTCTCAGGAGCAACACTAGAAGCTAGAAAAAATACCTTCGAAATTCTAAAAGAAAATTATTTCCAGCCTACAACTCTGTTGAACCCAATCATCAATTAAACATAAAGACAGAACAAGCCATTTTCAGACATGCAAGTCTTCCATATACCACATGTTGTTTCTGGGAAGATACAGAAGGCTGTGAGTGGCCAAAACAGTGAAATAAACTAAGAAAAACAGAAAGTGAGAGAGCACAAGGGACCTAGGAAACAAGAATGCAGCCAGACAACACATGAATGCAATTCCCAGGGTGTGGCAGAGACTCCAGGACAACAGCTATCAGCCATTGTAAATTTACACTGCAGCACACTGGGAAGTTCCGGGACAGACCTCTGCACAGAGAGAAAACCTGCACGACACAAATATATATGATGCACTGAAGAGAGACTTATACCACCAGTGAGGTGGATTTAGGGGTACATCTATAACAGGTACATCATAAAACTCAGCAGTTTAAAACAAAGAAAAAGGAGAAAGGAAATCTGAAAATGTACCTCAGCGTGCAGCCCTCTCTTCACACAAGAAAGGTCCTCAGTGTGACCCCAGCATGGGGGGGGGGGATGAACTACAGGAGAATAAACACAAGTGAGAACAGGGGCTCTGTGGGCTGCAAAACCACGCAGAAATCAGTGCTCACCACTGCTCACGGGCCTGCCAATCACACCTCCATCGGCGTCACACACCCTGGCCCCAAGGGCTCCTGCACTGCGTTCTCACAGCGCTGCTCCTGGAACATGCCCTCCTCAGGGGTGGGCTCAGATGGCCCTGTACATGAAACCCTCTTTTCTTACACAGCTCCCACAGGTTTTCAAATCACTGAAAACAGCTATGAGATATTCCTTTACACCTACCGACCAGCAGATGTTTAAAAGTGCCGTACATCTCACCATCAAGAGGATGAACATCATCCAGAACAACCACCGTGGGACACACCTGCCAGGACCTTGTTCCCTCCCAGAAGTCTGAAGAGTCACTTCTCCTTCCACAGCCAGCATGTGTGCTAAAGGAGTACACAATAACTTTTACCACTGTAATATTTTTATAACATAGAAGCTTTTACCACTGTGATATTTTTATAACATAGATGCTGCTGAAACAAATCAAGTTTTCGTTTACAGGAGAACGGCTAAATATGTTGCGTATTATTCATAAAATATCCTCAGTGGTTAAAAATAAACTAAAAAAAAACTGAATGAACTACAACAACATGAATGAAAAAGCAAGTCGTTCCAGTTCCAATACCTTGTTAAAAAAAAGAAAAGAAAAAGCAAGTCACACAATAAGATTTACGAGCACATGATTTCATTTCCATAAAGTCAGAACATCAAGCTAACTGTAAGTGCTCAAACTCTAAAGAAAGCAAGGGGATGAAACAAAAGTCAAGATGGTCATTATCTCGGTCATTGTCTCAGGGAGACAAAATGGCATTAGCAGACAGCCCAAAGGATTTTGGAGTGTGGGGAAGAGGGGGGGGGGGTGGAGAGAGAGGAGGAGAGAAAGGAGTGGGAGAGAGGAAAGAGGGGAATCTTTCACAGTAAAAGGATTCCACAATAAAATTCTCTGATGAATAAACAGAATACGAAACTTGCATACACTTTCCACCAAGAAGAGAGTCAGTGTAAGGAGTTGCCGGCAGTCACTGATTAGTCCAAAAATCCAGAACTTAACTAGCTTAATCTGACTCAAAATTGAACACTCTTTCTAGTGACAAACCCAAAGAGCTTGGCTGACTCGTGAAATACACATATACTTAACCCTCAAAACTAAAGGGCAGATACTGCAGGCAGCAGAAAATGCCAAAAGCTTCCAGTCAAACTCACTGACAAAGCTGAGTAACAGAGGGTGGGGCACCGCAGGGGAAACAGACACAGGACTTGGAGGAGCCGGACAGACAGACAGACAGCAGAGCCTCAGCCTGCAAGGAAGGAAGCCTGCAAGAGGGATGCCTACTGCAGCCTCCACAAGAAGACATGGCCTTCATGGGCTCTGTGGACAAGGCTGTGAGCTCCGTGCTGTCGCACTCTTGTTACAACGAGGAGGACGTGCTTTGGTGGGGTGAGCAAGCAGGAAAACTTCCTCAACCAAGAGGCCAGTGCCCTGGCTGGCTGGAGAAGACCAGTCAGGCAGGAAAAGGTGCATGCATGATCGGAACAGGCTGCCGAGGTCTTCTACATGACTGCGCACAGGAATATGGAATGAACAGGTCCACAGGAGAATCACTGAGGGGAGGCTCTTCCCTCTGGATCTACGCCAAGGTGGACCCACCCGGTAATCCTCTGAGTCAGAGCACAAACAGCTGCTTACCTGTGAGCAGGGTGGTAAATCGCAGTACTGATTCCATGAGGATAATGACTACTGAAGCTGAAACTGTGACTCTCTTGGTAGCTCTGATTTGTTTCAACACTAAATTTCAGAAGGTAAGCAAGAAATAAATACCATTAAACTTCAACAGACATCATTACATACCCAATACGATATCTGTAACGTGGAAGACACGTAATATCAAAGATGTAAAACAATCAGAACTCTGACAGTGTTAACATGACTGATGGATACAGTCCTGTTGGTAAAAAGTCTGGTAGTTTCTTACAAAAATAAACTGCACTGACTGTACGATTCATTGGAAGGGAAACATCAGGAGATATGATGATATATATTCATAAATACTTATAAAGGATAGGCATAGCTGCTGTATGACAGCAGCCCTAAGCTGGAAACCTGGACGTCTAGAAACAGAAAAATGGATAAACCAACCACTCAGCACTCATGTAGCCACACACAGATACCTACACATTTATTCACGGTATTCATAAAATACTGACCACTAGTAAGACGGGAATACACTACTGAGTGGCATAAACTATGGATGAATCTCAAATATTATGCTGATTAAAGGAGAGTTTACAAAAAGGATCCACATACATGATTCCACTATTATGAATTATCAGGACAGACAAAACTCATCTGTGATTTTTTTCTTTTCTTTTTTTGGTACCAGGGCTCACTTATGCCACTGAGCTAAATCCCTGGCCCTCAACTGTGATTTTTAACAAGTTTTTTAAACAGTTACTTGTTTGGGGGTAGACGTTGAAAGGGATGCTGGGAAGGAGAAGATGGAACGTCCTAGCATGGTGGCAACGTCCAGAATCCCCACAGGGGTTTTGACTGCATAAATGTACACACTGATACTAAGTCACAACAGGTACAACTGAGATTTGTGCATTTCCACAGAATATAAATATTACCGGAAAGAAAACTCATCAAACACTGAACCCTAATTAATGATATGCATGCTAAATCTAACTGCTGACATCTCCAGCTTACTCTGAAATACATTAAAATACAAGAAGACACAGAGATGGATAAATGGTAAAAATATGATCGATAGTACAGTAAAATCCTAATTATAGAATCCAACTGGAAATACATGAGTGTTTAAGATACAATTCTTTCAACTATCAAATTGTACTTCCAACTTTTCATAACAACATGCCAGGACATAAAGCAGCACCACTAACTGATGTGAAACAGAGAAATAACACTGCACCAAATACACTTCCCAAAGCGCCTTTTACCTGACAAGGTAACTTCTGAGTTCTCCTCGGTAATTGATGACCAAGAGTTCTGCTAACCACTGCGCACTGGCTTTGTATTCTAAAAATATCAACCCGGGGATGGCACAGCTCAAATCACCAGCAAAACTCGATGCCTTTGAGAGAAAAGAAAACTGCATTACTAAAGAGACGCTCCATAAATAACGATGCACAACTGGGGGGCATGTGAAAGCCCAGTGCCAATTGCCCGGTCTACAGCAGTCCTCCCAGCTCTGGTTTTTTTAATTACCTGTAATCTTTCATTTACTCAGGCAACACCACAATACATAACTTTGAAGTAGAGGGGTAGAGAAGCACATTTTTATTCAAACCGTACATCCACTGCAACACAGAACTCTCCACCCTTCCACCCTAGAGAACTCTAGAAGCAGCTTTCCAATGTCAGCATCCACTGCCAGCAGTAGTCTAAATGGAAAATTCTTCACTTCCATTCGCCTACTCGGACGGCTGAGGACAGGGAAGCAAGAGACCTGTAGGGACGCTCACCTACCTGTCACAGCCTCTGGCCTCCAGTCACCTTGGATTCCAGAGGCAGAACCTCACAAAACTGAGGCTTCTGCAGAGGAACAGACATCTCAGAAGCCCCCGCTGCCCCTGGGACAGCCAACTCTTCCCAGGAGACACCCTACACAATGGGGACGCAGACAACAACTGGCCAGGCCCAGCCTGCCCCGCAGCCCACAGAAGCAGTCCTTCCTTTGCACGGGCCAGTCTGAGTCTTTCTCACAAGGCTGCTCCTGCCGAGACCTTAGGGCTTGCGGGGCCAAGCACATGGCGCCAGCTTCCATCTCCAGAGAGCTCCTCAGAACCTGTCCAGGAGCTGTGGGACTCCTGTAACCTGAGCCCAGTGTACTTTGCCCAGATTGCTCCATGCATATTCATTTCCTGAATGAAAACCATTCTCGGAATTCCTGGCTCTCAGTACTAAACTTAGGAGAACACACTAAAAAGCCTGAAAACACCATGAGCTCCAGGTCCTGCAGGAGTCACTTAGGCAGAGCCCATGGCAAGTACAGGCAGGCGAGGCATGCATCTGGGTCCTGGCCTTGGTTTTCTCTGTGAAGCCTCGGAGATGCTAAGACACAGCCAGAGTCAGAGCCACTGTTCTGCCCACCGTGGTCCTATCCACATGAATACAGATGCTAAGGTGCACACGATTCCTAGAAGAGACCCAGGGAGAGGGGCTGCCACTTTGCTCCCCTCAATCTCCTTCCTAAACTTCAAAAACTGACACCAATCCACTCACATAACTGCCGTGAATATTGAGAATGTACATACAATCCTTAATAGCAGAACACAATTACAAATTATTACAACCATTCTTTTTTTTTCACTTTCTCTTTCAATTTCTATTCCATTCATGTAATAAATTTGAACTCCCAGAAGTTGTCCCTGCTATGGACGTTTCATTGATGGAACTTTATAACAATATTTTGTGCTATGATAAAAACCAGGAGTGTTCTAAAATTACTTTAAAAGGCCAGATGAGGGAAGGCTGGGGAGAGACAAGGGCATCCTCAGTTAACACAGGCAAAAGACAATCAGACAACAGTCAATGTCAAAACCCTGACTTAAACCCCAGCTGGCTGGCTGTCCGGATGCCAGCGCTATCCAGCCAGAAGCAAGTGTTACTTATGACCCAGCTTCCTGTCCCAAGCCTGCTCAAGCTCACCACAGCTGATACAGGGAAAATGTGAATGGACCTTTCCTTCTCCAAAATTCAAAAAGCACTTGGCTTAGGCAGTGTTTTCCACCTGCTGCCAGTGTGGACCCCGCACCCCAGCATCATGGGACCTGCCCCAGGGCCAGCCCTTCATTCTTCCTGTGGCCTGAAAATGGCTCAGTATACTCTCCTGTTTTGGACACGCCTCCTCATGAGGGTTGGCTGAACAGCCTCCATGGAGAATTTACTTACTACTAGGCGGTTTACATCTGCACAATGCATCACAGAATACAAAACTAAGGATTACCCAGATGGAAATCCCCAGCTAGATCCTGAGTGTCTCAATGTCATAGTTTATTATATCTGTCTCTTCCCTTCTCACATTCATTCGCTGGAGCATCCATACAGAGATATCACACATACCCCCAAACAGTCACCAGTCTGCGGCGGATCATACCGGGGCAATGACAAACAGCTCGCTTCCCATGAGGTCGAACACCCGCACAGTGCCCATGCTCTCTGCGTAGGCCAGCAGCGTACAATCATAGCTCCACGCCACCCGTCTCCACTGGGGCTTGGGGTCTTTCGGAACTAGAAGGAAAAGAGAAGAGGTTACAAAAATCAGTAACACTTTTAGTAACTGTGGTTATAGTAAGCATAATGCACCACTTCCCAGCGCTGTCTAACGCCTCACTTAGTAGCAAAGCACAGCACAGACGTAAACCATCACACGCGCTGCCCTCACCAGGAAAGGCTCCGGGATAGCACACTGCAAAATGCTTACATACCAAGAAGCAGCGGAAAGAATGGGCAGAAAATAATTCCAACCCAATGAGTTCAGCCCCTCTAACACCAAAAACTGAGAAGTTCAGCTGTATCAAATGCCGATGCTAACACAGCATGAGAATAAGGGAGGACAGGCACACAGGCAGACAAATCTAGAACTGTCCTTAGACAATCACACAATCATAAGACTGCGATAATCAATACCTTCATAATCCTAATAATCCAGCTCCTCGATTGTCTCCTATTCTGAATTTTTCGGCACAACAAAAAGGCTGCTAGCTATTAGAGAAGAGAAAGAAAGGCCTGAGAAACTTTAAACCATGCTATGTTTGACGTTCTTACTGTTTATTTTCTGTGCTCCCATTTCCTGTTATTAGAAGCCCAGCACTAAAGAGACAGGTAGGAGGCCCAGTGCCCTCTCTCTACCAACTCTTCATTTACACAGTCACCAAATGTCTTTATCCTACCTTGTGGCTCACACACTGACAGAAATAAATTAATTAAATAAAACATGGCACAGGACATGGCACACATGACTCCTGGCTCTCCCCGAAGTCAAAATGACCACAAAAGATCAATACCTTGAATCAATTTAAGACATCAAGGCAGTAGGACAGTGCAACTAAAAACACAGAGGAGGACATCTGGAGCTGCTTCAAAAAGTTGCAGGCACAGTGAGGTGAGTGGGTTTAAAGCAGGGAGCAGTATAGGGGGAGGGGTGATCAAATGTCTTTTACTATAATAAATACTGTCTTTTTAAATGTTTACCATATTTCTTTATCACACATCTGTAAACACAAAGAACAGAAAAACCTCAAGAGCAGCACAAAAGGCACATGGTAAAATGCAACCTGCCTCCATGAGGAGAACACCGGACATAGCAGGTCCAGCCACTCAATGGAACAGAGGCCACACGTAACAGCCATGGCAAGACGCTGAGTGTCTTCTCTCGAAGATCTAGAACTAGACAAGGTTGCCTGCCTTTACACCTCTATTCAACACAGACCAGGCAGCACAAGCACACAGGAGAAAGCAGCAAGGATCTCACTCAGAAAAAAGGAAGCCAAACTGCTGCTGCATACAGATGACCTTGCACAGGCACCCCAAGATTCCACCAAGAAAACTGCCAGAATAAATTAATTCAGCAAAGTCTCAGGATATAAAATCAACACACAGAACTGGCAGCATAAGCAGGGGGCAGCTGAGCCGAAAACGACTTCTCAGGGATCCAGTCCCCAGCACTACCAAAAACAAACAAAACCCAGGAGAGCCACAACGTGCCAACAGCAAATTACCAGAAACACAGAATGAGAGAGCAATCCCATGTACAATGGCTATGGAAAATAGTAATAAAAAACTTAGGAACAAATTTAATCAAAGGAAAAGGTGAAAGTGCTCCAAAAAGAAAAGTAGGAATTGTTCAATGTTTGTATTTTGAGACAGGGTCTCACTCTGTAGTACACACTGGCCTCCAACTTGTGGCGAACTTCCTGCCTTGGCTTCATGAGTGCTGGGATTACAGGCATAAGCCTCCATTATAGGCTTCCTGAGTGCTGAAAACCCTGAACTCTGATGAAGGAAACTGAAGGGAAAATAGAAAATGGGAAGACATTCTATGTTCATGAATTGGAAGAGCCAAAATTGTTTCAATTATTCAAATGATTTACACTTTCAAAGCAATTCCTATCAAAATGCTAATGACATTCTTTACAAAACTAGAAAAAAAAGAGGTTAAAATTTGTGTGGAATCACGTATTTAAAAATGTTGAGCAAAAGAACAAAAACATTACGTCATCTGATTTCTAAATAAACCACAAAGGCCAAGTAATTAAAACAGAATGACATTGGGATAAATATCAACACCAGAACCAAAGGAAAAGAGCATGTCACAAGAAAAAACACACATCTACAGTCAGCTCACTGTGAACACACGTGGTAAGAGTAAGACTAGGGGAGGTTGACCTTTCCAATATATGGCGCTGGAAAAGTGGTATCTACACGCAAGGGAAAGAAACTGGACCTCTACACCTCAGCAGTTACAAACATTAACTCAAAAGAGGCTAAAGACTTAAATGCGAGATCCAACACAGTGAAACTACTACAAGGAAACAGAAGGAAGTACTTCAGGACCTTGGGCAGCGTAAGCGGGGGTTGGGGACACTGAAAACACAGGAAACCAAAGTAAACAGACAAATGAGATTCCATCAAACTAAAACAGCTTCTGCCAAGCAAGGAAAACAGTCATCAGCATGAAAAGAAAACTTATACCATGACTACAGCATGACCAAAAGTATTTACAACCAGAAGAGACCTAGAATAGCAAAGTCAGTTGTTCTAAGCAGCAAAGGCAAGGCAGGAGGCATCACAATCCCTGACTTGAAGTTATACTACAAAGCTACTGTAATAAAATCAACATGGTAATGGAATCAAAACAGATCTGAAGATCAATGGAATAGATTAGAAGATACAACTACAAACACACTCAACCACCTTATCTTTGATAAAGGGGCCAAACATACTCACTGGAAGAACGACAGCCTCTTTAATAAATGGTGCTGGGAAAACTGGCTCTCCATATGCCAAAAACTAAAACTAGACCCATGGCTATGATCATATACTAAACTAAAATCTAAATGGATCAAAGATCTGAATATAAAGACAGAAACACTAAATCTGTTGGAAGACAAAGTAGATAAAAATCTTGAAGATATAGGGGTAGGTTAGAGAATTCATGAATAGGAGTCAAACCACATGGGAAATACTTCTCAGAATCAATAACTGGGATTGTATCTTATTAAAAAGTTTCTGCATGTCAAAAGAAATCGCCAGCATAGTGAAAAGAAAACCCACAAACTGGGAAAAAAATCTTAGTGAACTGTCCCTCAGACAAAGGACTTCTAAAACATATAAAGAATTTTAAAAAATCAGACTCCCAAAATTCAAAGACCCAGTCCAAAAATGGGCAGCATCTGAGATAAATATACATTTCTCAGATGAAGAAATACAAATGGCAAATAAATACATGAAAAAATGTTCATCATCATTGATCATGAGAGAAATGCAAATTAAAACAACCCTGAGATTCCATCTCACTCCAGAAAGGATGGCCAGGATCAAGAAAACTACCAACAACAAATGCTGGAGAGGCTGTGGGAAAAAGGAACTCTCTTGCACTGTTGATGGGAGTGTAGACTGGTGCAGCCACTGTGGAGGTCAGTCTGGAGATTCCTTAAAAAGCTGGAATTGAAAGTCCCATTCAACCCAGCTATTCCACTTCTAGGCATATTCCCAGAAGAACTAAAAACATCATACCACAGTGATACATGTGCACCCATATTTATAACAGCACAGTCTGTAATAGCTAGATCTTGGAAACAACCTAGTGTCTGTCCATCAACTGAGGAATGGATTAAAAAGTTGTGGTGTTTTTATACAATAGAGTACTACTCAGCTATAAAGAATGATCACATTTTGATTCCTGGTACTGATAAAAAGGAAAAAGACAAAAAAAAAGAATGATCACATTGAGATATTTATAAATAAATGGACGCAAGTTGAAACTATACTCGTAAGCAAAATAAATCAAACTCACATAAATACCGTAAAGTCTCCCTAGAGTAAGAAATGGTAAGAGTACATAAGAGTTCATAGTAATCATTCCCCATTCATTGCTTTGAAGCCTTATAATGTTTGTATTCATTAGTTGGAATGGTTTTATCCTGGCTTGTTTGATTTTATTATCTGTCATAATATGAAAACAGCTACTTTGAAGAAAACAAGACTATATATAACTTATATAAGACTTATAATAGTGCTGATTTAATACCTTACTCAGAAGTCCTACTATACTTTTGTCCTTCTGTTTCCATTGGTTCTATCATACTGCACCTTATTGGATTTTATTATGTGTGATAGTATAAACAAATTTTCTATGGAAAATGAGAAAATATAGCAGCCATTGCTGGTTCTCTGTTATCTGGTTCTGAATGCCCTGTAATACTTTCATTCTCTTGAATGATTTTATACTATTTTGTTATGTTTGATACTATTGTATATGAAGTTATGCTCAACTATTTCAAAGAAAGAGACATTATGGTAGTTACTGTTAATTACGGGTTGTCTTATGGTGAAGAACTGTGTTGCTTACATTGTTCTGTTCTGATCTTCTTTGTTATGTCCTCTTTTGTCTTAATCTCTTTTTTTTTTTTTTTTTTTTGTCTTTTTCATTTTTATCGGTACCGGGGATCGAACTCATGACTGCCTGCTTGCAAGGCAGGCGCTTATGCTGCTGAGCTAAATCTCCAGCCCCTGTCTTAATCTCTTTAAAATTAAAAAACAAAGAAAGTATTTAAATAAAATGACCACCTGACAAAGGGTCAATTCCTAGAATATATATACAAGGAAATCAAAATTTGCAACAACAGTTCAGTTTTTTTGTTGTCGTTTTTTTTTTTTTTTTAACAGTTCAGTTTTAAAACAGGAAACAGATCTAAACCCATGTTTCTCAAAGAAGGTGCACAACTGGCCGACAGGGAGGTGAGGAAATACTTCACATCAGCGGTCACCTGGGAGCCCTCATTCAAAGCCCAGTGAGGACTGGCTCCCCAACAATGGATAAGAATGACGAACCCCCAAAAGGCACAACACATAAGGAGTGCTGGTGAGAAGGGCCATGCACCCCACTGCAGGGAACACATGCAGCCCAGGCATGTGGAAAACGGTGTAGAGGCCCCTTAGTGCATGCGCTGCAGCCCACCCCAGGGATGTCCCCAGCTGCGTGCTGGACACCTATGTGCCTTCCACACAGCAGCCTCTGCCCCGCATGGCTCCCTCTGGCCTCCTCCTCCTGCTAGGCCTCTGTGAGGGTCACTACTACTCCCTCCACATTTTCAGAGCCAACTTCTCTCTTCTGTGTGACCCCCAGGCCATCGACACACCTCTAGGTGCATCTGTCACAGCACATCGCTGTTTCATAACTATCTGACCTAGAGGACTCTGGACACCCTCAGAAACAAGGTCTGCCTAGATACCGCCACTCCAGATGGGGAGCAGAGCACGTGTCACAACCCTGACTCGGGAGGCTTCTGTCTCTGGAACATCTCTGCCAACAGGGCACAGTAATAGAACAGGCCTGCCGTCCCCAAGACGTCTAATAGAAGTCTCCCCCACACACACACCTAACAAGGGGCTGGAAATTATTCACACTCCATCTGCCTCTGTGCCATATATTCTGTATATAAGCAAAAATACCTGATCTAGAAATTTCTGCATTTTGACTATGATTAGGCAAAAAGTATATTTCAAAAAGCACCAGGCATGGTAGTGCATGTCTGTGATTGCAACATCAGACAGCTGAGGCAAGAGGATCGCTGAGTGTTCAAGGTCCACGGGAACTACACACCGAGACCATATCTCAAAAAACAAAACAACGGAAGTATATTTAAAAAGTCCAAGAAGAGGGTCTGGGGATTTAGCTCAGCAGCATAAGCCCCTGTCCAGAAAGTGTGAGGTCCTGAGTTCGAATCCTGTTACAAAAAAAGTCCAAGAAAGGTCCTCTATACTAAATCCAAACAAGATGCTGCAAACACTCAGTTGACATTTTGTTGTTCTGCTGTTTTTGCTTTTGCTTTTCTGAGACAAGGTCTTACTAAGTAGTGTTGGCTGGCCTTGATCTTTTTGTGGCCTGGAACTCTCAGCAATTCTCCTGCCTCGGCCCCCTGAGCCCTGGAATTACAGGCCTGTGCCACCATACCCGGCAACAAAGCTTTTTTGTTTTTGCTTTTGTTTTTTCAATAGGAGAAAATGAAAAGAAAATCAGTTCCCTGTCTTTAGACTGTTAAAAAGAAAAATCAAATTTGGAAGTAAACACACAAAATGATAACGAGAGTAAAGACACCGATGTATACACAGATGCTACATAAAAACCAGCAAGAAAAGGGGCTGGGGATTTAGCTCAGCAGCATAAGCGCCTGCCTTGCAAGCAGGCAGTCGTGAGTTCGATCCCTGGTACTGATAAAAAGGAAAAAGACAAAAAAAAAAAAAAAAAAAAAAAAAACAGCAAGAGAACAACTTTGCCCAGAAAATATTCCTGTGCTGACTAAACTCCACAAACACATTTCCACTGTCCCCGTTCCCCACCTCATCTCGTATTGACGGGATGAGTGGATTTAGGAAATAAACTCCTCTGGGGGCCTCATTTTCACGGAGACTTGCGGTTATCAACAGCGCATCCACCATCCTCAGCCCGTGTCCCCAAGAGCATGCCTTTTCATCAAGAGCTAAGATTTCAGTTACCACCAGAAACAAAGCCTGTATCCCTGGGTTTTGCAGCCACCTACGATGTAGTTCTGGAAAAGAACGAACAGCGCAGCTTTTACAAGATGATCATCAACAGCGCTTTTCAAAAGTCTTCCTAGAGCTGCTAGAGAAGCAAAAACCCCGAAGAAGGAAGAACCGGGTAAGTACTCAGCTTCGGGGCTGGGACGGGGGCTGTGCAGTTCAGCAGCGTCGCACACACTCCCAGGGCCATCTGACTCCCCCACACACCTACATGGCTGAGAGGGACCTGGGAAGGAAGCTGGCCCACACCACCAAGGCATGCTGCACCAGCGCCTGGGCAGGCTCCCCTACCCCGCGTGGCTTCCACCATTCCTGGTTCCTCCACCTTGTTCTCTTTCACGGTCAAATGTTTATTATTGCTCTAGATAAAACATACAGGCTCTTTTCTTTTAGTTAAATGAGAAGACACATGCGAAGCACTCCATACCATGCCAGCATACCGTGTCATCCTCACAGTGACTCCCAGAGCACCACTCTGGCTCTATGGACACAGGAACTGCAGGCGCGCATAGGAGACAAAGGCAACAGAGCTGTTCACCAAACACAACCCTCCTCATCGTGTCCTCCCATTTCTGCTGTGGTTTGGAGCTAACATGTCCCCATGCAGGTTCCTGGACCCAGAGACAGGGCTCTCAGACAGTGAGCAGATCACGAAGACCTATGTGTACTGTGGATCAAACCACAGACAGACTCATAACCCCAAGGCAGCGATCAAAGGATGAGCAGAGCTGAGGGAGGAGATCATGGCAGCATGTGCAGCCCCAGGGGCTGAGTCTCACCCCCTAGCCCCGTCTTCCACATTCTCACAGAAGACCACGCCTTCTGCTCACAGTCACAGCACAAGCACCCAGCAGGGTAGCTCATGCTCACAAAAAGCAAGATCAAAAACTACAGAGAAGAAATACAGCAAGCACTAAATAAAAATTTCAAAAATGTACAGTGAAAGATACACTGCTATTATCTCCTTCAGTATCCTCCCTTCGGCTCACACACACTAGTCCTATCATCCTGGTTGCTTTCTGTACCAGCTCCAGAAATCCTCTTTCCTGAGGGTCTTTCCAGGTGTGATCAGAAATAGATGAGTGCTGCTGCCAAATGCCATCCAGAGGAAAGACCGCTTTGTAAAAACACAATGCTGTGTCCTCAGCCACCTCAGTCACCAGATCTGGTGCAGTGCAACTCCTGGCTCTTCCCCAAAGTCACAATGACCAGGAAATGGAAACATTTTGGAGTTTGGTGTGGGAGTTGTTTTCTTTTGTTTTTGTCTAAGACAGGGTCTCACTATGCTGTTCAGGATAGCCTTGAGCTCATTTTATAGCCCAAGCTGGTCTCAAACTTGCAACAGTTCTCCTGACTCAGCTCCCAAGTGCTGGACTTATAGCTATGCACCACCATACCTAGCTCCTTTTTTAACATTTTTAATTCTTTCAGGACGTCAAGGCAGCCAGGCAGCCAGAATAGCAAAGCAAAAGACCCTCATGAAAGACGACTCCACAGCTGCTGCAGGAAGTGGCAAAGATAATTCAATAAGTACCTTCAAAGCACAAGGAAGCATTTTCATGGAGATTAATTATAATGTACCTTTTATTGTAAGTATTCACCGTATTTTTATTACATTTCATATTATACTCAATAAATTTTTGCTAAATATATCAAAAAACTGTCAACTCCAGATGTTTTTATTAGACTATATCTGACCAACTTTGACTTATAACTAAGTAAGAATTCAAAGTAAAAGAATATGGATACTTACAAATATTTTCTCCCCAAACTGGCTTATATATTTTAAAAATAGTTTAAATTTCAAACCCACCCAAAATGCAAAATACTCAAGGAATTAAGAAAAGGCAGTCACAAATTTTAAAACTTTTAATAGTCATAATAATCCTTAATATATATATTTCTTTAATATTTATTCCAATTTAATAAATACTGCAAAGCATTGGAGATATAAAATTTTCTTTTTGGAAATATTTTAGAAACCCTTACCTTGACATTTCCCAATAACAGACGTAAAATCATCTTTTGCAGACCTGAAAAATATACGCAAAATGAAGACAACGGTTTCACACTGGTTAACTACCATGAGCCAACAAGCGCAGCAGCAGCCAGGGGTGATGGTGCAGGCCCACGATCCCAGCCCTCTGGGAGGCTGAGGCTGAAAGAGTGTAAGTTTGAGCTCACCCTGGGAAACCCGGCAAGGTCTGCCTTAAAATTACACAAAAATAAATAAATAAAAGAGGCTGGGGAGCCCCATACAAAGGCCCTGGGTTCAATCCTCAACACCACCAAAAAGAAAAAGCAAAGACCCCAGATTCACAATCTTAAGGAGCACGGGACAGCACTGGGTGCTCTGGGCCAACAGCACCACTACTGTGGTTAATGTAACCATCATCCTCAGCCACCCTAGCCTGACCTGCAGCCTTGGCCGACAGAGCAAAAGCTGTCCCGCTCTTTTCTGCACCTTCCTGAGCATTTGTTTAGCTCTCTTAGTAACTAGCCAAACAGGAACGACTTCTGGAACTCAAAAGAGCCTTATTCACTGAAAAAGTGGAGACTGCAGAGATCTGGGGAAGTAGAAGCATGAGGAGCTCCTCAAAAAAGCACTATCCACCAGCCAGTGTCTGACACCACACAAAAGTAAGCGACTTAGCAGTTCAATCATTTGAAAAATTAAAACCAGGTAAAGGTTCTCTCAAAGAAAGCCTTAGAGGGGCTGGGGATTCAGCTCAGCGGCATAAGCGCCTGCCTTGCAAGCAGGCAGTCATGAGTTCGATCCCCATTACCGATAAAAAGGAAAAAGACAAAAAAAAAAAAAGAAAGAAAGCCTTAGAGAGCAGCAGCATTAACCATTACCTGATCTCCACACACTGGTCCTGAACAGCAGCCAGCAGCTTCCCGTTGCTTTCCCAGGGAAGAAGAATGCGAAAACTCATTATGAATATCTGCACTGAAAAACCCAAGTCAACAGCTACTCATTTGATACCTTCAATACAGAGCAAATTATTTTTCAAAGTTACAATAACTTTTACACTTTTTAGCTCTAATTGCCCATCTTTTTTTTAAAGGATTGAACATTTCTCCACATGTTATTGCTTGACATTACTATGTTGACATACGGCTGGTTTTATATTTACATGTTTAGTTACCAACATTTCTTACAAAGAGCATCTCTGGAGTTTTTCTCTGAGGCAAGACATGGCATATGAAACTGTTTTGTTTATCAATCATAGGATAAAACCATGTTGCCGAAGAAAACTGTCATCTCTCACCCTTGGCTTTCAGTGGTGAAACTGCTATTAGGGGTCGACACAATGGACTCTGCAGAATGGAGTCACATTCCTCTCTGCCTCTTCCTGGTCGGTAATTATCTTTAAACCTTATAATTAGATGCATATAGACATCTACATTCCAATTTAATAAATTGGAATGTAGGCATCTAGGTACGTAAAAAGCATAAAAATGACTCAATATAGCTTGACTGAACATCTCTAGACAATACTGATCCTATCATCCTATTATCACTGATCAATACTGATCCTCTAGCCAATACAAGCAACAAAGAATGTATACAGATAAAAGCTGAGCAGGAAAGTCTTAAGGGGCCCAAAATGAACACCCATAATAAAAACTAACAGCCAATTCAAATAGAAGCACATTATGTGAATTTCACACCACCTTACCTTGCAAGGACCAAATGCCAGCTTATCTGTCTATTCACCAAGCAAACCAGGCCATCAGGGAGTAAAAAAGGAGCAGGGCTGAAACCAACCACAACACATTAGCTTGCTTTAATCTAAGCAAGAACGCCACAAACAAGTAAGTAAATATTGTAAATACTGCCATGTGCATACAGGGAGGGATACCTATTTTTTCCCCCTTAGAATAAAAAATTTGAATATTAGCATACCGAAAATCAAAAGTTACTAATATCTGAAATTTTACCATGGACAATTCTCTATTTCTAGAAAATACAGTCTTTCTGGGAAAAAGACTACTAGGGCACAGCTCACATCTATAATCCTAGCTACCTGAAAGGCTGAGGCAGGAGGATCACAAGTTCAAGTCCAATTTGGGCAACTTAGCATAACTTTATTTCAAAATAAAATTCAAGAAGAATTCAATTTCATTGAATTAGTCATTCAAGGATGACCAATTCAAAGAGAAAGGTTTCTCAAGAGGGAGATAAAGAGTCACCCATGAGGCCTGACCTGTGGGCTTTCAGAGAGGACAAGGTGACCATCGAGAGCAGCGCAGGTGACATATCCTCTAGTCACCACCCCCTCCACAGTGAGAAAGGCTCCAGGCTCCCCTCCCTTGATTCTCCTCAATCTTCTTCTCCACCTGTAACACCAGATCCCGAAAGCAGGCTGAAAAGGCCCAGAGTACATGCAGGGATAGGGACAGGCACAGGCAGACACAACCATGGTAGGCACAGACACAAGCTGAGGTCCCGTTCACAGAGCTACCCATCCTTGGGGGCTTTTCAGGCTGGGAAAAAGCAATCTGCAGTACCTAGGTCTACAAAGCAATCCCCACATGTCTAATTTTAAGGCTGAAAACCACCACCCTGCCTGAAAAGATACTTACCACTCAAGAATTCAAAAGCACACAAGAATGAAACCCAAAGAAACCTCACCACTGCATGGCCACTGAACACTAAGCAGCAAAGAGCTGATGGAAACGTAAAGACAAAAATGCTTCTGAAAAGCCAGGGACATCACAGGCCTGCTACAAGTGGGGGCCAAGATGAGGTCCCCACTTATCAGAGCAGCAGGGTCATCATGTAACATTTCTAACCAGGAGGAAGGAGGCAGAAGCTACCAATCCACGGAGAAGACCTCAGCTCAGGTCAAAACATTTAAAATCTCTACCTAGCGGGCTGGGGATTTAGCTCAGCGGCGTAAGTACTGTCTTGCAAGTGTGTGGTCGTGAGTTCAATCCCTGCTACCAGTAAAAAAGAAAAACAAAAAAAAAAATCTCTACTTAGAAATGGGCTCAGATGAGTATCATTACACTCCATTTGAGAAACCCATCACAACCTGGGGTTCAGTCATGAGAACGTAATTATAAATTATAAATAACATCTGTGTCTGATTTTCAGCGTCTCTGAAAAACCACTGTCTCACCTGTACCAGAGGTATTGGTGCAAAAATAATAAATAATCTGTAATAAAGAGAAAAATAAAACCAAATATAAATCATTTGTCCTTTAAGAATCATTTTCAAATTAGTTATACAGAGGAAAAATTTAAATACACTACAGGCTGAGTCATTATGAAACCAAACATTGAGAAGGCAACTCCTAAAATCAGAATAATCTAATGTATACACTCAAATGGTTACAAGGTCACATATTTGTTTACATCATCTCTAAGCTTATGTGTTAGAACTCTGAAGTATTTCCTAACTACAAAAATGTAACAATGGTTAGAGATGTCAAATTTAATCCAAAAAGCTATCATGAAGCCATGGGTGAAAAACCACAGTAATTACTCTTAGAGCTAAATTATTTGTATAAAAATTAAACCAAAATACCAATTTATGCTTTATTGCAAAGACATAAAAAATAATAGCAATACCTAAAATATCTCAGCAGCAGAGCATTTGCCTAGCAAGCCTGGTTTCTATCTTAAGAAACACAAGATAATAGTAATGGTGCTTCTTATGATTTGGTTTAGAATACATGTGTGTCTACACACTGAGTCTCAAGCACAATAGATTGTCTTTAGGTTGTAAAATGAAAAAAAAATTCAAACTCACAGTTATTTTCTATATTTTCTGTAATGTTTTATTATTTGTGTGTATCGTCTAAATGTTCAAATCTTCAAAGCATTTGTGATAATGAAAATTGAGTATGTTAGCTCTTCTAACACCCCTAATGGTAAACTCCTGTACTCTGGCTCTAATCTGCTTTAAACATATGTGTGCATGAAAATCCACAGGCATGCATACATGCATCTGCTTATATACGTGTATACAAAATTAAACTGAGACAACACCTACACTACTTTGTTTTGTTATGCTCCACTTGAAAGCTCCAAAGAACACATTTCAAAATCCCTAAACGTTCTAAAACAGCACAGTTACAAATGAAATATAAAGAAACAGGTAACTATATCATTTACAAAACAAAAAATAGATTTACCTCTGATTGCTTTTGTGATGATAAATGATGCACCATGTTTACGGTTACCGCGAGGCTACAATTAAAAAACACACATTTGATCATTTTTATAACCCTAAGGAACACTTGCTAAATACTCAGAGAATTGAGTAAAAGGTTCCACTCATAGGTCAAAATAGAAATGAGTTGAATCAAGACTCAGTACCAAGACTGAGCATGGCCCACATCAGGACAAAGCTCACAGGACCACACTGTGTTTCTACACCAAAACACCAAGTGAAAGGCTGGAGAAGCCCAGGCAAAGCCCAGGCTGGCTGCAGCTCATTAAAGTATTTCTTTTTATTTTTATTATTTTTTTTATCGGTACCGGGGATCGAACTCATGACCACGCGCTTGCAAGGCAGGCGCTTATGCAGCTGACCTAAATCCCCAGCCCACTCATCAAGGTCTATGCAGGAAAGTGGCAGAGACCTCTAAGACGCTTTACTCACAGGAGGACCAGTTACAAGGGCTCATTAACCCACGACTTGACACAAGTCCATTGAGTATCCTATACCCTATACCCTATACCCACACAAACAATGCTACTAAAGAAATCCCACTACAAAATTGGTATATTAAATACTTCCATGTTCAGGCCTGATGAATATACACAAATCTGACTGATACTCTTCACCCTATACCTAAAGTCTCTGCCTTGGAGACAGCTGGGTTTCTAACACCATAACTGCTCCCCTACTGAGCTCCCAGTACCAGTCAGAAGCTCCTTTCCCTTTGCTCCTCCAGCACTGTGAGCATAAGATTATGCAAGATTAGGTGGAAACTTTACTGCAGGTTCTCCCCTCTACACTGGAGGAACCAGAGCAGCTTAGTTATCTCCGTATCCTCGGTACTTCGTCGAGCATCTGGGACACACAGACATAAGACAGATGGTCAGATGGATTCATGGCTGGATGGACATATAGACACCACCAGATGGACACGTGGATACATGCAGAAATGAACACATGGATGGCTGGACACATGAACGCGCACACGCAATCACTAAATGCTTCTCTGTCACTCTTCTGTGTTTTGTTTTTGTTTTGTCTTTTTCCTTTTTATCGGTACCAGGGATCGAACTCACGACTGCCTGCTTGCAAGGCAGGGGCTTATGCCACTGAGCTAAATCCCCAGCCCCTCAATCCTCTGTTTTTGACACATGGTCTCACTATATAGCTCAAGCTGGCCCCGAACTATGTAGCCAAGGCAGGCCTTGAACTCGCAGCGATCTTTCTGCCTCAGTCTCCCCAGTGCTGGGAAGACAGGCATACGCCACCACGCCCTGCACGGAATGCTTATTTATTGAAATACACAAGGTATTTGTACGGCCCCTAGCAGGGGGTCCGCGGCGGCCGGGCAAGTGCTGGGAGTATTGCAGTCCCGGAACAGTCTCTGGGGGCAATCGGGGCAGCCTGCGCAGGTCAGGGAGTCCAGATTTCGGGGGGACGAAGACCCCCGAGGAGGCACGGGTGGGGCTGACAAGATGATAATATAAACAAAAACTTTTATAGACAAGGAGATTATACAGAAACCATTATTCATTTTCTGTTAATTGGTTCTAAATACCCTGTAATAATGTCATTCTTTTGAATGGTTTTATAGTGTCTTGATATGTTTGGTGCTACAGTATACAAAGTTATACTCAAAGATTTCAAGGAAAGAGACACTATGGTAACTATTTTTATGTCAGGGTATCTTGTGGTGAAACACTATTTTGCTTAAATGGTTATGTTTTGACCTGCACTATTCTGTTGTTATGCCCTCTCTTATCTCAATCTTCCCTTTTTTTAATTATTTACTTTTTTATTTTTATCTTTTTAATTAAGGGAAAAATAAATAAAAAATAGTAGGATACATTATAGTAACCTACTTTGATTTCCGATTAACTTGATTTGAAATCCTGTATTGCCCTCACCATCTTGTTTTGACTGATTTTCCCCTATTCTACTTAGCTAGATAGTAAGTACCAAGTTCGAAAGTATAGGCAACAACTGTGAAGACAATAGGATTCATTATGACGCCCATTCTGGTTGACTATTACCTTCTTTTAAAGTCCTGTAATGTCTCCAATGCTTTGGTTTTATTCTTTACTGTTTTGTTCAATTTTATTATAACTGGCAATTCTTAAAATAGCAAGAGGCAGTATGGTAACCATTGTTGATCACCTTGTATTTTGTTTTTACATTGTCTATTATGTCCTTTTGATTTGACAGACTCTGTTCTGATATGTCGCATTTGGTTTTACTCTCTTCAAAATAAGTAGTAAGAACTGTGGGAGTAATAAAACCCAAAGTGTGTAATTGTCATTGTACAAAAGAAAAGAAAAGAAAGTGCTCTAAAGGTTATAACTGCATAAGTTATAACTGCTTAAGTGTATAAGATAGATAACCATATTACTGAGTTTTTTTTGGATCATTAAACAAAACTGTTTGCACTCTCACTGTTTGAAAGTCCACTTTATATGCTTTAATTTTGTAACTTTAACAACTATTTCTAAGATGAAAATATGTAATCTATTAACTAGTGATTTCTTACTGTTTATTTTTAAAATTTTGTATTACTTGTACCCTTTTTCTGTTTTCTTTTTCTCCTTTAAAAAAAATTAGAAAGGGACTGCATCCCTTTGGACTCCTTTGTTTTGCAATTACACCTGTCCAACAATCTGGTTTCCTAACTGCCACTAAATTTCTATAGCAAAGAAGATCAAGTAACTTATAGAACCTGCATTCTGCACTTGCTGCTTCCTTCATGGTGTTATAAAATGTGATCTTCTATTCTCTGTAGTAACTAGAAGCCCAGCCCATAGATTAGTGAGATTCAGGTGAACAATTTCAGTGCAACTGCCTGGAAGGGATGCTGCAAAACCAGCAACTCGTGCTACTCTGCATCAGGGCACATATCATCAGGTGGTCTGGCCATGAGGAATGCCACTTTGATTGGTTAGAATAATGGCAGTCAAACCTCAATTGACCAATTTCACCTTCAAATTTTTTTTAACCTTTAAAATCAAAAACAAAAAAAAATAAGTTTCTGAAATAAGATTCTCTTAACATGCAAATTAATCTTTAACCATTAATCTTTCACCTGATTTCAGTACTATTAAGACTACATGAACAATTATTTCACAGTGATTATAAAAGTGGTGATTGCTATCACTTGTTTCATAAAGAAAAGAGTTTTCTTGAAAGAAGACAAGGCAGAGCCGGGCGTGATGGCTCACATCTGTAATCCTAGCACTCGGGAAGCTGCGGCAGGATTGTTGTGAGTTCAAGACCAGGCTGGGCTACAAAGTGAGCTCAAGGTCAGCCTGAACTGCATAGAGAGACCCTACCTCAAACAAAGGAAGAAAAAAAGAAGACAAGGCAATATGAAAAAGGGAAACAGAAAACAATAAAGAAATTTCTGGTCTAATTTTTTTTTTTGTAAACGAAGAAACTGATAAGCAGAAAAATTAAGCAACTTGGTTAGAATCACAAATGGTTAAAGTAGGTTGGATTTTTCATTCAGTGCTGTTTTATGTGTTGCAAAGATCATATATTCTTCTCCAGATGCTGAGTTTATAACATGTACTAGATTTAAAGAGTAGAGGAATAATGTTATTTGCTTCCAAAGAGAAAATAAAATTTGAATTGCATACAACTAATCCAAAAGCATGTTATATAAATTTCCACTGAAACAAAAGTTACTTAAAAATTATAAATATTCATCCATCACTACTTAAAAAGATTACTATAAGGACAGACCTAGAACACACAAATCACAAATACCATTACCTTACAAATACAGAAAGCACTTAATTAAAAATGCAACTTAAAGGCAAATAAATCACTATTAATCCATTTTTAACAGGATTCTTTGTTGTGGTGGTGGAATTTTTTGCTTAAATGGATAATTATCAAGTTTAGCACAATTAGAGCAAAGCAATTATAATTACACTAAAATTTCAGAATTTCTCATATATTGGTAAAAGAATAGGAGTTCACTAGCAGACAATAGGGTAGCTCATGATTTTATTTTCTTTTTTATACTTTCTAGCCATCCGCTGTGCTGAACATCTGGGAGAGCAACGTGCTAAGGCTCGGGTGAAGGGCGGCTCCCAGCATTGCTTACCCAGGCCCTCTCTGTGGAAGGCAATCCAGGATGCCATAGCAGAGGGGGAGCTGGTTGCTGGGCCCGCAGCTGTAGATGCACTCAAGCACCGTGGCCATCAGCTGGTCCTGATCGGGGATAATTTTTTGTTGGAGCTGGGGAAAAGAGAGCATGTACTGAATGTCGAGAGATTTACAGGCTCTCCCTATCCAAGTACTATTGTCAATGGAATATTAAACACTGCAATTAATCAGCTACAGAAACAATTTTGATTTTTCTTTAGCTTACAGACCTTGGGGTCTCTAATAATTCTAAATGGAATCACACTTTAATTACAGAATCAGCTAGAAAAGATCATTTGTAACCAAAAGCTTTGCATCTGCCGAAAACATTATGATCCACTCAAGATAAAACAGAAAAGCGCAATGCATTCGAAAGGCAATTCATTAAAAACACCATTTCTAACCCTAAAGCCAAATTGTGTGTTTTAATTACAAAAATACACAAAATTCCTTAACTTATATTCAACAATGTGAGAACCTAGTACTTCTTAAGTATGAAGTATGTATTACTCATTTAACTACCACGGGCTGACATTCCATCCAAAACAAGCCAAACGGGACACAGTGTCACACAAACCACAGACAGTGCTCCGTGTTCTGGAGCACAGGCGTGGCTACTTCCAGCTTCGTTTTATATCAAATACCACGCTTCCCTTGCAAACCAGCCGGGGAGCATTTCCTCAACTATGAAAACAACCAAATGCTGCAATCTCAAGGGACTAACAATGCCTCCCTCAGAGGGTGACTGTGAAGATTAAATTAATACATGTGGAATCCTTACGCTCTTACCACAGAAACTAAAGCGGAAGCCTGAAACTGCTTTCATACAGCGCTTTTCAACAGCGAAGTTAATATAGAAAGAAATTAATATAATTTCTATAATAATTATCTACGGATTCCTGTATTCTAATTGAAACTTACAGTACACATAAAACAGAAAAGTGACAGACGCTGGCAAAGGCATTTTCTTAGGAGAAACACACCAGTGGATATATATAAAAAATACTGAAAATTACTACGGAAATAAAGCAGCTAGGTTAAGGATTTAGATATATGGCTTCAAGGTACTAAGAAAACAAATAACAGCCTGAATTTGGCACTAGCATTTGAAAAAGAGGGAACCAAAGCAGCAAAGTGACTGGTGAGATAAGGATAAGCCACCCAGAAAAATAAAGTCTATTAAAAATTAATATGACCAGCCAGGCACAGTGGTGCACTCCTGTAATCCCAGCACTTGGGAGGCTGAGGCAGGAGAATCATCGCCAAGTTTGAGACCAAGTAGGGTTACAAAGTGAGCCCAAGGCCAGCACACTACATAGTGACTCTGTCTTAAAAAGATAAAAAAAAAATTAATATGATAACTCTTTTTATTCTGTGCTGGATTCCATTTCTAAGTGCTCTGCATGTACTGTATTAATTTTTCAATCTTCATAATGACCCTACATTGTTTCCATTGTATACAAAGGAGAAACTGAGGTGCTGAGAGGCTGAGTGATGTGCTCAAGCTGCTAGAGGCTGTAAGTGGCAAGGCCGGGACCAACATCCAGCAGCATGGGATCTGGCGTTCCTGCAGGAGATCTGGGCAGGAGAAGCCAGGCCCAAGGGAAGGTGGGGATGAAACATACATGTGGCAAGGAGGCGCCAGGACCCGCGAGCCCCGAACACCATTGCCATTCACGGGTAGCTGGGAAGCCATCTGACTCAGGAGCCAGAGCGCTGAATGCTTTATTCCCTCTCCCTGCTCCATAGCTGTTCCTCCTGGAGACAGACATGACAGGCCTGCTTTCAAGTCTGACGTTCTAGAGTCTTGTGTTTGATTGCGTCTGCTCAAAGCCCCCTGTGAAAACCCTGCAGCGGTGCTTCTGTGCACAAGAGAAGGCAGAGGATGTGTTCCTGCCTTCTGCTCACACTCCTGATGCCACATGTGAGACCACTTCCCTACACCACCCACGTCACTAAGCACCTGAGGAAACTGGTCCCCAGGGCCCTGTGGACCCCGGATCTGCAGACACCCCAGTGCCTGGTATAAAATGGCGTAATGTCTGCATATTGCTGGTATATATCCTCTTACATGCTTAATTCCCACTCTATTATTTAAAATATCTGACACATAGACCAGTACCAAAAGAATACAGAGAAAATGGAGCACTGTAGAATGCTCACCTAACATGTCTTCTTCAAGAACTTGCCAACCTAATAATTCAGTGTTAACTCCATTTCACTTTGATTCAGTTGGAACTTCCAAGATCTCTATGATCCTGTGCATACGTTCAACACATCCCCCCTGGTCATATACAAGTTCCCTAGGTTGGCCTACACTAAGGCAATTAAGAAGCAGAGATCAAGAGAGTGCCAAAGACAAGTTGAGGCCTTCAAAAACAGGCACCTAGAGGCCTTCTTCCCTCAATGAGGCCCTACTTCCCAGCAGTCCATTCTAGTCAATGAATAAATCCTTTTCTATCTTAATGCATGAAGCGCTTTTTCTCTGTATTCTTTTGGTACTGGTCTATGCCACTCAGCATATTTTTCTAATGTGATATATGCTACCCATGAATCATGATGCTCAAATTTACAGCATACTTGTCCTTCTCACCCATGTGATGCCAAACTCTAAAACCTACCCACACACTGTTCCTTAGTTTGATCATTCCAGTCCTAGTATCTCAGCAGTCTCTATAAAACCATTATCTGCCCTTCCTGAACTGAAGAAGGGTGCCAGCTCACCTGGCGCTTTCTAAGAGCTTAGCTATGTAGGTTTCCTGCATCACAGGCAGCAGGCCACTGTCCATATGAGGCACTGAGCAAAACGCAAGAGAATCACAGTTGAGAAAAACAGTCTTGAAATGGAGCACTGTAGAATGCTCAATTCTATAATGAATGGCAGATGATAAGACAAGCAAGTAAGAAAGAGGACTGAAGGAGCAAAATGAACAAATAAAATCAACAGCTTTCACACACAGGAATAAAGAGTGATAGGAAATGAGGTGGCAGAGCTCCATCTATAACAGAAACAATAAAACAGGAATAAATTTAACAAGAGATGTGACAAACTAGACATTTAAAAAGACATAAACAAATGTAATAATGTCTCCTATTCTTAAATAAGGTGACTTATCATTACAAGTTCAACATAATCATAATAAAAATATAAGTAAGCCAATTTTAGAATCAGATGAGCCGATACCAATGTTCACATAGAAAAAACAACCATCTGAGAATAGCTTCAAAACAAAAAGAGTTAGGAAAAATAACTGCAAGGAAACACTATCCTTATCTGACACTGAAACATACTCTAAAATCTTCATAATTAAAACAGTACTGTGCTAATGCAGGGACAATCAGACCAACACAACAGCACAGACACTCTGGAATCAGCCCATAATCAAGGGAACTCGGAGAGGTAACACAAATGGCACCTTTGGCGGCTCTGGCAGGGAGAAGCTGCCTAAGAAACGGGGCTGGGACACTGGGCAGTCATCTGTGAGTGGAGCTGAAGATCATCAAGGTCAGTGGCTCAAAGGATTCATGCGATCAGAGTGGGCTCACCTGGACACCAGGGAGACCTCCAGTGGCTTGATGTCCCCCATGTGCCCAGCTTTTTGGGAGTACAGGACACTGTAACAGGGTCCAGATTGACAGTGCACATATTTTGGGGGTCGTCATTCTGACTACTGCAAGTGCTGTGCACTTCAGAGTGAAGTGTAACAGGCCAGGCGTTGAGTGAACTGGAGCCATCAAAGTCCCTGCCAGTGTCACCATTTGTCCTCAGCACCTGAGCAACAGCCCCAGACCCTCTGATCTCTGATGCCAGACCCCTGCCTCACACCAGCCTCACCCACCCTGACCACATGCTCACTGTGCTTCCCTCGTCTTCACTTTCTGACCTGCTATTTTCATGATTAATAATGGAACACTCACTTATACTATTCTCATATTTATTATTTCTTAAGTACTATTTCCCCACTCTCTTATCTACTCTATTTTTGGATTATTTCCTTCCTATGCAGAACACTTGCAGATAATCCTTTCAGGATAAGGCTGTAATGACAACCTCAGTTTACATTTATCTTTAAAAACACATTCTCTCTTTAACTATTTTCTGATTTCAGCTCTTCCTCACACTGTGTCATACACTGGTTTGAGGCCATCCGGTACATTCCTGTCCCTGTGATTATATCCAGCTCTTTCTTGACTCTTATGCTCCTGTCCTCACTCGGTGGCCTTCCGTGGCACAGTTCCATCTCTTCCCGATGCCTTCGATCTGTGAACATTCATTTCAGTGGCCAGACCAAATGACCTACTGCAGAGGGCACAGAGGTCCACCGCAGGGTCTGGCTCGTAGATGACTTTCTCTCTGTGTTCTGTAAACTGGATTGTGGACTCCTCTCTGCCAGGCTTCATGGCTGAGAATGTTGTGCCATCTGGACAAATACAGGGCCCTCAGAGAAGCGAGACTGGTGCGTGGCACAATCCTGGAGAAGCACACGAAGGGACTCAGCAGGCAACAGCCCTGTGCAGAGCCAGTCTGTCCCCACCCGCACTGAGCATGCCCACTCTGGGAGCCCTGGGTTCATTCCTGCTCACATGGAGATCAATGAGAAGTAGAAGCCAGACAGCCATGGACCACTGTCCCAACACGGCGGCAAGGGCACAACGGGAGTGGAAAAGCGTAAGGACCCATCCTGGCAGACAGATGGCGAAAGAGTTTGTGGGAGAGAAGCTCCCAGAGAGCAGGGACTCGAAGGATCAGAAACAGAGAAGAACCACTCGAACCAGAGGAAATGGACTGTACAAAAACATTCAGGAAGAAATGTTCACCAGTCACCAGTCATTCAAGAAATGCAAATTAAAATAACACTGAGAGTCTAGCTCACTCCAGAAAGAATGGCTGCCATCAAGAAATCAACCTACAACAGATGCTGGCAGGGCTGTGGGGAAAGAGGAACACTTCTCCACTGCTGGTGGGAGTGTAGACTGTGGAAATTAGTGTAGAGAGTCCTCAAAAAACTAGGATTAAAGGTCCATTCAATCCAGCTATTCCCCTTCCAGGTATCTTTCCAGCAAAATTGAAAACAATGGCAATATATGTGTACCCATGTTTATAACAACACAATTTGTAACAGCTAAATCTTGGAAGCAACCCAAATGCCCATCAACCATGGAATGGATAAAAAAGATGTGGCCTTTCTATACAATGGAATATTGCTCAGCTACAAAGAAGGATAATCTTGAGGCTTTTTCAAGGGAAATGGAGAGAACACATGATCATACTCGTAAGTGAAATAAATCGAACTCACATTTGTAAATATCATATAGTCCCCCTAATGTAAAAAAAAAAACTGAAAGAGTAATAAGATCCAAAATGAACAATAGATATTGTGATAGTGAAAGACAATGCTCAAAAGAAAAGAACAACTGGGATGGGGGAAAGGAGAGAAGGAAGAAGGAAAAAGATACATGAATATACATATGATAGATAACTATACTACAAATCTGTTAGTTCATCCAAAAGACCAGTTTGTGCTTTCATTGTTTGGCCATTTTTTCTCATGCCTAAATCTTATAACCTGAACAATTACTTCTAAGATGCAATATACAATATGTTAATTACTGTTAATTTCCTACTTTTAAAAATATATTGTATCATTTCTACCCTTTTTACTGTTTTGTTTTTAAAATAAAAAAAGGAAATGGGCCATAAAACACAAAGTGCTGGCATACATCTGTCATTCCAGCACTCAGGAGGCTGAGGCAGGAGAACTGCTATGATTTCGAGGCCAGTCTAGGCTTTAGAATGATGTTCCAGAGCAAAACTCTGTCTCAAAGAAAGAAAGAAAGCCAGCTACAAAGCACCATGAAAAGAGCCCAGTGATGCAGAGCACGTGAGTGCCCAGAGAATCACATGCCAGGAGAAGCCAGCTACAGAGGGGGCCCGAAGCAAAGAAGTGTCCTTCCAGGAGAGGCCCACACACAGGCAGCCAGAGTGGCCCTGAAACTCCCCAAACACAAAAACGCTCTACTCCAGGAGAAGGCAATGCTTTCGTTTCTACTTCAGCTTGAGACTATTATTTCCTGACATTCCCGTTTTATCAAAGCACCGGGAAGCAGATTCACTTTGAATTTCAAATGGGAACGGCATTGAGGGTCCCCCACATGCACCGCAGTCTACTGTGCAGGACATCGTCACAAAGTCAGTCCCACAGGGCCTGTGCCATCCTGCTGTGTGCCCTCTGATGGAAAAAGACCAAGGGTAACTCTGTGGATATTGGTTGGCCCTGAACTTTGGTTTTTTTTCAGACAGGGTGTCACTATGTAGCCCAGGCTGATCCAAAACTCACTATAAACCCAGGCTAATCTTGAACTCACGGCAATCTCCTGCCTCAGCCTCTGAGTGCTGAGATAACAGGTATGTGCCAACATGCTTCCCTAAGTTGTTTTATTAATGTGTTTTTGGTTTTGTTTTTTTGAGATACAACATCACTATGCAGTTCAGGCTGGCTTTGAACTTACTGTGTAGCCCAGGCTGGTCTCATTCTTGCAATCTTCCTGCCTAACCTCAGCCTTCTGAGAGCTGGGATTACAGGCAGGTGCCACCACATCTAGCTGTTTTATTGTTACTGTGAATATATGTAAATTAGAAAATAAAATTATTACAATGACTCAAATGATTGTCATAGCTCATTTCCACACACAATGCATGAGACGTAGCATTAAATCTTCACACCCCCTTCAAAGTAATGAATCATGAGTGTTTTCTTTTCTCAGCTCTGTGTGTTTATCACTGCAGGGTGATCCGAGGGCAATGAGAGCCCACACAGCAACCTAGATGGGCTTTAAAAGGTGGAGCCATTTGCCAATGGAGGCTTCCAGCAATTTAAGGAAATGCTGCACGTGAACAATTAAAATCATATATCAGGAAGCAAAGCTCATCCTATCTTATCAAATTACACCAATTCTAAAAATAGCTCCAAATATTTAAAACCTGGATTCTAGTTCAGAGTAACATTGAATTCTGGGGATAACACTTCCTTATGGTTCTATTTAATAATCACTAACATTTTCAGTGCTCACAATGCTGCTGAAATGGATACAAAACGCTGCTGAAAAATGAACAGCATGACAACCGTTGTCTTTTACTTTACAGGAAAATCATTTACAATGCCTATCATAAGCTTATAAATAAAACTTAGTTCTATCAAGAAAACACAGCTGAACAATTTGAGAAGCTGCGGTTTCTACTTACATCTGGCTTGGAATGCTGAAATATCTTCAGGGGAAGCCTCAAGTCTCCCTTAGCCAAGGTCACTAAGTACTCTCGTAGCAGCTCACTGGCCGCGCCAGGAGAGTGCTTCTCACAGCGATGCAGGAAGGGCACCATCCACTGGTAGGCACTTGTCACGTACTTGTCTTCGGAGCACTGAAAGCATAATGAGCCAAAATGAACAGAACAAAATTAATTGCTGCATCTCATCATCTCAGACGAACTGCGATGATGACAACTCGGGATAACCAGAGAGATGTGGAAACACACAGTGGCAAAGCCCCATGGAGAGGGTGCTGCAGAGCCAGCACCCTGGGGAGTAGGTAACCAAAGCACCATGGTGGCCCTGACTTCAGACGAGACCTGGACCGCAGTCCCCAACAGTCGGCCCAACTCTGGAACACACATATGGCTGCCACTCCTTGGCCACGAGGTCCCCAGGGCAGACAGACCCACCTGGAAGGGCAAGTGGGGCAAGAAGAAGAGAGAGAACATGGAAGAGAATAAGGAAAGGGGACAGAAAGGCACAGAAAGAAATAGGTGTTCCAGAATTCTGAAGACAGCAGCTTGATAGGTAGCAGGGTAGAGAGTCTCTGAGAAAAACAACTCAGACGCTAGAATTTAACACCATGGAGAAGACCAGACGAAAGGAGAGGGATTCTCGTGACAGGGAAGAAACTGAGGAAAAAGAAAAAGAAAGAAAGGAAGCAAAAACATGGATAAAAGGCTGGAACCAGACGCGCTCACTGGGACCAGTCCCGTGCTGTGCTGGGCATGCCGTGGAGTCAGACAATTCATGGTCGCACTAAAGCCTTGACCACCGATAATAGGAGTTGTTGAGTCTGGGGCCCTTGGCAGGAGGACGTGGCACAGCATAGAGTGTAGCCAAGGTGGAGAGCTGCATTAATTCATGGTGAATGCTGGAAATTGGGTCTCGTGGTAGGGGCTGGCTGAAGGACATATGGGAATCCGGTAGGATAGGCCTGAACCCGGAACCTCAGGGGCGTCAATCAGTCACCGCTGGCCCAATGAGGACTGGTGGGACATGCTTGGGCTGAGTCATGTCCCTGGTCGGGACCCAACGGCCAGGGACGAAACTGTCTCGAACCTGTGATATCCGTACAGCACAGACTAACGTGTTAAAGGCACTCTCCCGTTGACTGGCTCAGAGAAGAGGGGCCAGCCCACATTGTCCCTGCATGCACTTCACATAACAGCAAACTGGAGAAGGCAGCAAGCCCCCAGCCAGCACGCTTCAGAAAAACCACAAGCAATAAGGAAAGGGCCTGAGACCTCCACCATACACCTGTCTGAAAGAAACCAAAAACAAGGCAAGAGAAAGAAATAAGAAAAAGCCTCCAGCCGCTGACTCTGAGAAAGTAAGTCCAGGAGAGGTAAATACAGAAGAGAACCAGTACAGCAATCGTACAATATTGGCCACAACATCAGCGGACATAAAGAAATACATTCATGACCTCATAGATGAACTTAAAACTGAAATTCTAATCCAAGTGAGGCAAGACATAAAAAGATTAATAAAAGAAATGCTAAGCCCCTCTCAAGAAGACACAGATGAAAAAATGGAAGGACCCAGAAAAAGAAGAGAAACCTTTGGTGAAGAATATAAACAAAACCTAGAATACATGAAACAGATCCAAAGAGATTACCAGGAAATTTAAAATGCCATTGAAAGCTGGCAAAATGCCCTGACAGAAACCAAAGTGAGTCTTTCAAAATTTGAAGATAGATTTGCAATGTGTGATCATGAAAGAAAAGACCTCTTAAAAATAACAAGGAACCAGGAAGTAGCAATACAAAGGCTAGAAGATGACAAGAGGATCGATAACTTAAGAATAAAAAACATGAGCAAAGAAGCAGGAGTAAACACAAATGAATTACAAAGGCTATTCACAGAAATAATTAAGGAAAACTTCCCAAGCATAGGAAAAAGAAATGATATCCAGATAAATGAGGCATATAGAACTCCGGCCAACTACAACCAAAAAAGATCTACACCCAGACATATAATAATCAAGATCCCAGAAATTCACCACAGGAACAGAATATTAAAAGTGGTCAAAGAAAACAAACAGATTACGTATAAAGGAAAATCCATCAAAATAACAAAAGACTTCTCAACACAAACTAACAAATCAAGAAGAGCCTGGAGTGAAATAGTCCAAGCCCTGAAAAAAAATAAACTCCAACTCGGATTGATGTACCCTGAAAAACTCACTCTCAAAATTAAAGGAGAAACAAGACGTTTCCATGATCATGAGGAACTGTGCGAGTTCATGACCACCAATCCAACCCTACAAAAAATACTGAAGGACATTCTAGAGAGAGATAGAAAAAAATGCCAGGATTCCAGCAGCCATGGCAGAGAGGCCCCAATGAACAGGGCAGACAGTGGAATGAAGGAAAAAAGTGGACAAATAATAGCAGAAAAATAGAATAGCAGAGATGAGGTAGAGAAGGTGGGCTATAATCTCTAATACAGACAGCCTTGATACACTAACAAAAAGAAACACAGGCAGAGTAGATGAGGAGGCAGGAGCCATCAAGATGCTCTGAATAGGAAATATACTTAACCGGAAAGAGGGTTAATAAACTGAAAGTCAAAGATGAGAAAACGATGCTCTATGTGACAGGGATATTTGATAATTGATATTTGAGCTGAGTGTCTGCAGCTGTGCACTTGTCTCGCTTTTGAGATATCTCTGGCCTCATAGGCCAGTACAGGCCTCAGCCAGGACCAGTGATTCGTAGAGGTTCACTTACTATGAATCAACTCCCATTGCCAGGCAAGGGGCCAAGGCCTAGGACAGACTCACAAATATAGAAAGCCAACTAGTTAATTTTAAATGCTGCACAGAGCCTCTTTGTAGTGGTCTCCAACACCCAGCAGAATGAAATTACTTATCCTTTGCACTCCACAAGATGCCAGGCTTTCTCCAAATTTCACAGCCCCTAGAGAACCTCTAGTTTACCATCAATACTATTATCTACCCATAGAACCAAGATTTCCTAAAAATCTACTATATGCCAAGCACTACTGCAGACACTAGGACAACAGTAAGGAGCCTTTGTTTATACAAATACACACTATACTGCTATTTAACTTGTTTTGGTCCTTTAACTCCCAGAATGTAAAGGTGTTGAACGCACTATCTCTTAACTAAATTATAAACACCATGAGAGTAGCATAAAACTTAGATGCTAAATATAATTATCTTAAAGAGTTTGGCAACTCAAACATATCATAGAATCAGTTCATACCCCCCATTGCTATCAGTAAAAATGAAACCAGTCATCATGCTTGCAAACAAAAAGAGCCAACCAAGTGTTTGTACCTAAATTCTTTTTCCTTTGTGCTTCTGATAAACCCACTGGAAGTACCATTTCACCTTTTCCCTCCCCAAATTTCTTTTCTTTCTATCTATACTCAGCTATTCCCCCAACTAGTGCAAATACAACATTCATTTTCTTTCTTTCTTTCTTTCTTTCTTTTTTGTTTTCTGTCTTTTTCTTTTTTATCGGTACCAGGGATTGAACTCATGACCACACACTTGCAAGGCAGGTGCTTATGCCACTGAGCTAAATTCCCAGCCCCTAACACTCATTTTCTATCTAGGAATATTTGTGCTAGAACTTAGTAAAAAGAAAGAAAATTCAACACAAAGGAAAATAAGCTACAAGTTACAAGAGAACATTGTCACAGCTCAAGTGAAGTACAACCTCTAACACAAGAAAGAGGTTCAAGCATACTGTTATGGTTTGGATAAAAAAAAATGTCCCCCAGAAAGCTCATATGTTCAGAGGATGGGTTTTTGGAAGGTGATTACATCATGGGGCACTAACTTCAAAACAGATTTATCCAGTGATAAGTTCAAGGCTGAATGGGCTGTTACGAGGTGGGACCTCGAAGCAGATCCCTGGGGGCTTGCCTTTGAAGAGTTACCTTTCCTCAGCCTTTCCCTGCCAGCTCCTTCCCATATGCAATTAGTTGGACATGATGTCTGCATCTGGGAACCAACCTACTATGGACAAAACTTCTGAAGCTGTGAGTCAAAATAAATCTCTCCTCCTTTAAATTGCACATATTAGGCATTTTGTTCCAGCCAAAGGAAACCAAGTAATACACTGAGGATCTTCAAGATTCCCACCAGTTCATTTTCATTTATTTTAAAGAGACTAAAACACAATAAAACCAATTGGAACAAACCAGTGTAAGAGACACAGGCCTAAAAACATTATAAAATCAACAACAGATACCATGATGCCTTTTGATGTCTTCAAAATAGCTGCAGATAACTTTGGACATAGTAAAAATCAAACAGAACAGAAACAATAAAAATAAGACAATGAATTCCACACTTCAAACCAAGCCAGTAGTAAATCCAAAATTGCTACCATAATGTACCTTGCTATCTTTGAAAGAGCTTCTCCTGCCATTGGATTTGACATAATCAAAGCAAACAAGAGAATAAAACCGAATCCAATAAGGCAATGGAAATGATATAGGACTTCAAAACAAGACCATAGGGAATCGATGGCTACAACCCTCAGAAGGAGACCACCCTAGATGCCACACTGCGTACCACTATCTTTTGAACCCATGATCCCACCACTGGCCCTAGACCTGCAATGTTAGCGAAGCACCAAAGCATCACAGGCATCCAATTGCATTTCACCTCCATAGCTATCACAGCCTGTATTTCTCTGGATATGCCAGTCTCTTATGGAGGAAGGGGGGGGGTGCAGGAGGGATGAGGCGGGTATTCCATACCCCAATGTGGGCTGGTACTTCTTGTTTGCCAGCCCACATGCCTTAAGGGGTTAGGGTCTGTCTATTCCCAGTCAGGTGGGGCACCATGCATGGGGATGCTTCCCAGACTGGTTTTGCTGGCTGATATGTCCTTTGTTATCTCTACCCCCTGTCCAGGAACAGCGCTGACTCATGGGGAAAGGCTGGGGTCAGCTGCTCCAGTGCAGTGGGACTCCATGCATGGCGCTGCTTCCCACTGGATTTGCTTGCTGATCTCCCCACCAGTTCAAAACAAAACAAAACAAAAATTGAAAAAAACCAATTAGGACTTGAATTTCAGCACATGCAAACATACACATTAATAACTCTACAATATGCCGAGCACTAT